TGATAACCCTGCCTGCTGCAGACCAGCTCCTGTTTGTACCCATCTGGCAGGGCTGGAATCCCTCACACCCCAGGTCCTGTGACCTCCCCCGCTCCCTCCAGACCCTTGGGCTGGTACCCTCGCATGTAGAGGCAGAGCCCCTCACTCCTCAGCCTGGACCAAGGGAGCAGCTCAGGCTGGCAGCTGGCTCTGTAGCCAGGATACCCACGGGAGCTGGGGTGCAGGAAATGACCACTTGGCCCCCGGCGGCCGCCCCTCAGTCTTCACACCTCTGGGAGGCCGCTCATTGGCAGTTAAAAATCTGTTGTGACTTGTCAGAAAAATGAATAAATGGGCACATTATTTTTTCATTCCAGACCTCAGCATCTGTTTGTCTAATCAGGAAGCTGAGTGGCGAGTCGGTGGCGGCGTGGTGCGGGGCTGATGTGAGCTTTCCTGTCGCGGGAGTTTAGAGGGGTAATGAACAGGGCTGAGCTCTCATCCCATTACGCCCGCGTGATCCCGGCGCCAGGCCCTGCACGGCCGCCGGCCGCCACCCTGCTGGGACCTGGCAGTTAAGCAGAGGCCTTTGGTGGGAACGCGAACTGACAGGCGTAATCCTCTCCCGCTCCGGGGGGCTTGTGAGCGTGGGGAAACAGGGGCACTTGCAAGACCTGGGCGAGGGGGCCATGGGGGCTGGGAAAGTGGCCCAGTTCGGCTGGGTACACCTCAGGGTAAGGGGCTGAGAGGAGCGAGAGTTGACTCCATCACTCAGCCTCAACTTCCTCATCTATAGAATGGGGGCGAGGTGGAGAGTGGGTGAGGGCGCAGTGGGAGGCGACAGGCAAACCTGCCAATGCTCCTGAGGCACCTTGGCCTGTTTGCTGGCCCGAGGCCTCCCAGGAGGTGGCCTGATGGCCCTTTCTAAGCGGGACAGTTCTGGCCGTAAACACACACGCTAGCACCCAGATCCGTGGCTGGGGGTTCTCGCCGAGGTGGGCGCGAGAACTTAGCCAGCAGCTTTTGGGGACCCTGTTATCAGGGACACGTGAGAGGCGGACAGGACAGCATATTCAAAAAATAAATACGGAGCCGCAGCACTCTCTCGCCGCCCATGTTCGGTGGTCTCGCGCCACTTACCCCACCCGGGATGGCCGATGGCAATGGGCTGACGAAGGAGGAAGCGAGGGCCGGGCTGGTTGGTGATCAGCTGCAGCTTATTCCAATCTCATCTCCGTTCTCCTCCCTATCCTCCTTGATCGTTCTCTTCCTGATTCTCCCCTTACTTATATCCCAAATCATGAGGGGCTGGGGTAGCAATTACACATAGGTGTGATCAGACAATCAACAGGTGTAAAGTCCATCCCTCAGGGGAAGCTTCTTCTAGGAAAAATTCTCATTCCGCAAGAGGACCCGCCTAAGGGTGAAATAGCATCTAGGGGTGCGCTTCTCCTTTCCTTAGTCCAACAACTGTTTCTTTTTTTTGCTTTTTGGGTCACACCCGGCGATGCTCAGGGGTTACTCCTGGCTCATGCACTCAGGAATTGCTCCTGGCGGTGCTCGGGGGAGCATATGGGATGCTGGGAATCGAACCTGTGTCAGCCATGTTGGCTGTGTGCCAGGCAAACGCCCTACCCGCTGTGCTATCACTCCAGCCCCGCCAACAACTGTTTAAGCATTCATCTTAATTCTACTTCATAATAATATGTTTTGTTCTATGGGCACAGTAAGAGATACATTAAGCTTGTAGGGTGGCTCTCCTGGGGACATCTCGCTGTAGATCTCAGACTACAGTGCTCAGACCAGGTTAGTCTTTCCTAACCCTAGCAGGGTCCTAATCCAGTTGTTACTCTTTGGATCATGACAGACTTTGTCCATGACCATGCTCTTAACTTAGAGTTAAATATTATTATGGTGCTTAGCCTGGACCATTTTGATGCCAGGTTAGCTCAGAGCTTGCTCTGGGCCCATTCAGTCCCTTGTTGGGACCCTGCTTTTGGGGTGCTAGAAACTAAGGGCAACCAAGGCTTAAGTTGAGAAAACAGATGCCCAGGAGTGAATATTACTCAGAGTCAATTACAAGTTACAAAAGCATAGCATTAACGGTCTTCCTGTGTCTCTACAAAAAGGACTGCTCTAAGTGAACGATTCAAAGGACACAGGAGAAGAGAAAAGCAGTATTTCACTAACAAATACAAATCCAGTGTCCTAGAAGGATCTGACCTTACAAGTCAACAGTCTGATTTGGGGATAAAGGTGACTGACCGGTTGGGGAAGCAGAGAGCACAGAAGAGGTTAAGGATAAACACACAGGAATGGGAGTGCCTCGGGAGCACTGTGATGGGTGTAACCCATCAACCTAAGCTCCCTGTGGCCAGGGAGAAAGGACAAACCAGTGTTTGACCATCACCCACATTCCTGTGAGTTTTGACCTTCGGGGGCTTGCCTTCCCCGCTCCCTTGAAGTAGGGGTCACTAGGTGATCAACGGTGGCCCATGAAGTGAGTCTGTGGGCAACAGCACGTGTCCCACTCTTGTCCCCTGCTCTGGCCTTTCTGGGACCCTGAGGCCGGCTGGATGGTCGCTGACTTCCTGATGAGAGATTACCAACTCAGCTCATCTCCAGTAGGTGTGACTGTCCCCTCCCACAGAGAAACTGGGGCTCAGTAACACTAAGGAGCCTCTCCAAGGCAACCGCACCCGAAGCTGGACTCCGATGGCCACTGCCACTCAGGAAGCAGGGTGGACCTGTGCTGGGCCCCCCAAAGCAGTATGTGTATGTGTGGGACAGACTGCTAGGCCTCGCTCCTGGGTGCCCTCCCACCTGAGCACCCCACCCTGGGCACTGATGGTGGGGAACTCAGGTTGCGACCCGACATCAGCACCAGGCAGACAAAGGAATGGTCGGCACCAGGACAGTGCAGGGTTCTGTGGGTCTCACAGACTTGCACGGTGACCTGGGGACCTGAGACCCAGGTAGTCGAGCCCGCAAATCAGGGTTGCAAGCCTTGGAGCGGCCAGTACACCCACTGGTCACCCCCGTGCAGAGGCAGCGCAGTCTCAGGTCAGGGTATGGGGAGCAGGGGTCTGGCCCAGGTCCACACCCTGGGGCCAGGGGCTTGACTGAGGGGGAACCCTGTGCTGTCCCCGGCCACCCATGGAGCCCTTCACCCCCAGAGGGTGGGCACCGGGGGAGGATTAGAGGAAGCACAACATCCTTCTTGCCCCCCTCACCCCAATCCTTGGGCTGGAGCTGCTGGTCTGACCTGGGGGGAGGAGAGACGTGGCCTCCCTCCTGGGCGGGGGGCAGGGCGTCTCCCCGGGAGGCTGCGGTTCACTTTGCCCATGATCTGCCATGCTCAGTCCCCTGCTTGATCACGGTGTCCTGGACATTGGCCACCACTGTCTCCCCTGCCCCAACAGGCTGGCAAGCGCTGACCCGGTGCTGGCTGGGGACTGCACCCCTCAGGCCTAGTCCATCACTGCTGGTATCTCCTGGGGTGCCCTTGCGCACCTCTTGGCTCCGCAGACCGGGGCCTCCCAACAGTCAAGTGGCTCTTTGGCCCCAGCTCTGCTCAGGTGTCTGGGGAAAGAGGAACCAGAGAGGCAGCTGGTTCTCTGGCCTAGGGGCCTGGGGAGTTGTCAGGAGGCCGCTGCCAGCCCAGAGTGGGACGAAATGGCAGCATGGTGAGTCCTGGAGACAGGGCAAGGTGTGGACTAGTGCAGCAAGCCTGGGCCCCAGGGCCTTGCTCCAGCATCGCTGCGTGGGCCCCACCAGGGCCTTCGCCAACCCAGAACTCCTACAGAGATACTACAGTGGGGAGGATGCTGGCCTTCTTGCACACAGCTGACCCGGGTTCGATCCCCGGCATCCCATATAGTCTCCCAAACACCGCCAAGAGAAATTTCTGAGTGCGGAGCCAGGAGTAACCCCTGAGTATAGCAAGATGTGCACCCCCTCACCCCGCAAGAACTACGCTCAAAACTGCTCTGTGATCCGGGGACTCCAGAAGAGACGCATCTGGCTGACGGCCCCGCGTGGACAGCTGCGAGGGCATAGACTACGGTTCTTGGGAGGGCCGAGGGGTCAGACACGAACATTGTTAGACCTTTTGGGGGCCGAGGCTGGCAGGGGGAGGGGCTGCCAGGCTGGCGGGGGTGCTTGGGCTCCTGATTTCTCAGTGGGCTGGGGCCCCTTGTTTGTCTTTGTGAACGGCTGCTGTGGGCCTGGTCCTGCGGGTGCACCTATGGGGAGGCCTGAGTGGTGGGCAGTGCCCCTTTCACTTGAAGGCCACTGCACGTGAGTGGGGGATGGTGACAGGGGGACAGTGCAGACCTCTGCCCACGATTCACCGTCTCAAGCCCCGAGGAGCTCGAAGCAACAGGCACACACGGCATCGACAGGACTTTTATTTTTTAATGTTGGATAAGTCACAAGATTCCATGACCAAATTAGTCATTGACATGTTCCAAAGATATCTAAGTAGAAAATTGCTAAAAATCCAAAGACAGGTAGCAAGCTACAAATAAGAGTTTTTCTTTCTGGGTGGGGGATGGAAGACATTAGAAAAGATGCTTCAGCTGGCCAGCTCGGAGGGGTCGCTCAGGGCCCTGGGCCAGAGGCAGTGCCCGGGGGAACACTGAGGCAGGTGGTGTCAGAGGGCCCCAGCTCCCTGCAAATGCCCGGGGCCTGAGGGAGCCTGAGGGTCTTCCAGTCCCAGAAGCCCCCCGCGCAACTCGCGCCAAGGGGACCTACAGTGGCTATGAGGAAATGGGGTGACCACTTCGGGGGCGGGACACCCGCATGCTCAAAACCCTGAGACGGGTCCCCCATCGCCCCCCGGGCAACACTCATTTAAACAAATGGCCCAGTTCACGCTATCGACTCGGCCCTCGCCATTTTCTCCGAGCAATCGAGCCGGAGCTTTTTCCAATCTGCCCGTTCAATATGGGAACAGATTTTAGAGGGAGGAACATAATCAATCCTCTGCCCCAAAGAATGGTCCGTCATACCAACCGTGATAAAGAGTACACCTGTTTATTAAAAGGAAAAAAAAGAAATGTACATTTTGTTCTTCGTTTAAGAAATTTGATCAAGTTGCAAGGACGTGTCTGCATGGCTATGTACACCCTGGGGACGGCCGGGCCGCCCCGTCGCACTGCGGACCCCCAGCCGCCCCCCTGGCTCCGCTTCAGGGCTGCAGGCGCACAGTGGCCCGCGGTGGGCCCTGGCAGGCGGGCGGGGGACGCTGTCACTGCGGCCCCGATTTCTTCTCCTTCTGGAAGCTGAAGCTTGTGCGTCTGTTCAGTTTTCTTTGTTTCTGAGCAAAATAGTCAGCCCGGGCAGTGCTCGCTCGCGATTCCAGGATATAGTTCACCTAGGGAGCAAGGGGACATACTGGTTACTGCCCCAGGGCAGCTCTGGGCTGGGAGGGAGGGGCCCAGCTTAGGTGGCTGTCCCCACACCCAGTGACTGTCCCCGACCTGTCCCAGACCCTGTGGCTGCCCCCAGACCCTGTGGCTGTCCCAGACCCCATGGATGTCCCCACAACTGGGCTCTCCCGTGGGCTGAGAGTGGGACCCGACAGGGCAGGCCTAGGGACCAAGCCAGGGCGCCCACATGCGAAGGCTGAGCTGCAGCCCTTTGTGCCTCACCCTGCCTGCAGTCCATCTTCACAAGGGGAAGAGGGAGAGGATGGGGGCCTGGACTGGGTGCTTCTGTTGGGGCTTTCCTGACCTTGCAGCCTGCCTCCCTGAAGGCCATTCCCGTTGCCTGGCACCTTATGCCCGCGGTTCAGCCCAGCATGAGGACCTCCTCAGCCTCTGGCAGGCGCCGGGCAGGGCTCAAGCTGAGACAGGACAGGGAGGCTCAGGGGGCTGGGGGAGCAGGGGGCACGCAGCTCGGGGTCAGAGCAGGGCTGTGGGCTCTGCTGGTCACTGTCACCAGCATCTGAAGCACTGAGCCCCAGGGTGCCCCAGGGAGCTCCCGGCCAGGCGGTGTCCAAGCCAGATGAATGGGATGAGACAGGAAGAAGGCACAGCATGGAGGTGGCAGCAGAGGTCTGGGTGCACTGGGGCAGGGGATAGCCACCGGGCAGCAGGACACACTGGGGCACCCGCACAATCGGACAGCTTAGTGGGAGGGCCAGGTGCGGCTGGAGGGTATGGGGAATGTGGGGGCTCGAAACCCTCATGGAGGCAAATCTGCACAATGGCCCCACTGGATAGCTGGGGAAACTGAGGCACGGGCTGGCAGGGCCGTTCCCTCCAGGTCCCGGAGCTCTCATGTGGCCAGGCCCAGATCTGGAGCACTGGGCCCCAGAGGTGCCACCACTGTCATGTCCTCAGACCCCTGCTCCCCTGACAGGTGGACAAGGCCAGTTCTCACACGTCATGACTAGGAACCTGAAGGCCTGTGGCTGGACTAACCAGCCCCAGCCCTGCCACCCTGAGGAGCCTGGGGACCTTGGTGTGGGGGGGCAGGGTGGGTTCCCCACGTGGGCTCCGGCCCCTCCCAGCTTTCTACTCAGTCCCAACAGCAGGCGGCAAGGCTGGGGAGTGGGCACAGAAGGCTGGCCGTGCTCGGCCCGCCGCCTTGCCAAGTCACCAGCTGAGAGCAATAAATCATGAGGTCCGCAGGGCCGGTGGGTGATCTGGGATGCCACGACGACGTCTGGAGGAGGAGGGCTGGCGTTCCTGGGCAGAGCCGCCCTCATGCGCGGCCGCTCCAGCCTTGTACGGGCAGCGCGCGGCGGAACAGGGAACTTGACAAAAGCGTTGACAAAGACTCCTTAACAAGCCAACTCACTCCCAAATTTATTATCTTCAGTGCTTTGTGATAATCACACAGATAATTTTAATGGAAGATTAATGTAATAATCAAAAGATAAAAACGCCCTTTGGTCTGCCATTAGCTGGTTAATACGCTGTGGCGTAAAACTTGCACAATTTTATGCACTATAGAGTGTTTCACTTGCAACGCGTTTTACAGCTTAAGGCATAAAAATATAGGGAGTTTCATGGTCAATAAAGCCACAGCCTCTGTCACTCGATCACCAGCAGTGCCAGTTTCAGGACCCTGCGCTCCCTCTGCGAACCCCGCCCCACCCTGCAGCATTCAGACCCCACCTGGCTTAGTGCAGCTGTGTCCTGGCCAACCTGAGGCCATGCAGGACTCCTTGTATGTACTTGGGGCCTCCCTACAAGATGGGGACAGTAACGGTTCTCCAGGAAAAAATCTGGAGGTGCTGAGTTAAGGGGCTTGTCCTGCTTTGACCCACAGTAGCACGGTCCCCTGAGCGGAGAGCCAAGAGTGGTCCCAAGCACCATGGGGTGTAACCCCTCAAACCTCTGACCCCCCATAAAGATCTCTTGCATGGAGTTGGTGCCCACCAGAGAGGTGGGGTTGTGCTCTCTTAAAGGGGGAGGTGTAGCTACAGAGAGCAGGGGGCAGGGGCCCGAGATATGATGGGCTTGGTGCATCTAACAGCTAGACCCGCAGACCCTCCCTCCTTGTTCTCCCTGAAGCTCTTGTGTTGTGGGAAACTCTGGAATTCAGATCAAACCCTCGTGGTGCCAAGACTAGCGCTGAAGGGTCTCTGGTGAACTCTGCAAAGTGGAAACGGTGGACGGGGCAAACCGCTGAGCCTGGCTGGGAGGATGGGAGCGAGGGGAAGGCAACGTGGCCCTTCCTGGGGACCATGGTCAGGGGCCTGGAAGTGAGGCTGGGCCTGGGCACGCTGAGGTTCTCCTGGAGCCGCGGGCATACTGCGAGGTTCTAGGAAGGTTCTACGTGAAAACAGAGGTTTCTGCTAGGCCCGCGTATCTGCTCGGGGTGGGGGCACGGCCTGGACGTGATTTCCCTGCACTCGCTCTCCAGCTCACACCGAAGCCATAACCTGTGTTTCTGCCATCAACCTGCTGCTGTGAAAATCATTCTGGTGTCAAACACAAGATGATGATTTTACTGGAATCCCGCTCAAGCCTTGACGACTTTAATGTTGGCTGTAAAAAGCAGCCCAGCCCCCGAGCTCACTCCTGGGCCCTGCTTCCCTGCTCAGGCCCCCGGGCGGGGGGAAAGGGGAGGGGGAAGGGACCATCTGGCGAGCAGCACCAGCAGCAGCTACTGGCCCCAGGCCCCCTCCAACTTCCCATCCGGGGACCGAGGCGCCTGACGCTTCTCTTCCTTGTCTACTTGCTACTTCTGAAAACCCTGCAGCCACGAGGGCTTGACTCCCAAGTCCCTGTAAAACAAACCCATTTTGGTGAAATCTCCCACTTAGCTGCCTAAGACAAATGTGTGTGGGGGCGGGGCGGGCTTATGAGTCCGGATTCCAGGACTGACACGGCCCAGGTCAGGCTCCTGGCTAAGCCATGTCCCTGAGCCTGTTCTTGTCTTTAAGAGGCAGCTTTGCCATCTGCCCTCAGAGTGGATCCCTGGGCCAGGCCCGGTGCTGGTGTTGGAGCTGCTGCGCTTAGTACTGGCTGCTTTAGCACCCGGGAGGGGGAACGGGCGGGCAGCGAGGCTGGGGGCTGCCCCCACATCTGACCTGGCCTGCCGGAAGTCTGGAAACCACCCATGTGGGGCTACCTGGAGTAGGGGCAGGGTCTGAAAGCTTCTTAGAGACGCACTGTTTGTCCTTGCTCAGACCTCCAGGAGCAGCGATACACCTGGGGAACCATCCAGAGCCTGGCCGTCCTGCGAGTTTGGTGGCCTGGCACCCCGACACATGAGAGACAGGGTGCAAGCTCTCGGCGCCTGCACTTCACAGGCTGGTCGGTCCTGCCCGCAGTGTCTCTGCCTCCCAAGGGCTTTTCCTGCTGGGTCTCAGGGCCCAGCCCTCCCTGACCCCCCAAGGCAGGTCACCTGCCCCCAACACCCCACATTTATGACTAACAACCTCTGACTTCCCGTGAGGGCACAGGGATGGGGCCAGTCCTGGAGGTGTCACTGTCCCTCAGGAACTTCTGCAGATGTGATTCTGCTAGAACAAGCCAAGTTTGCTTTAAGGTGCCTTGAAACGACACCTGTCAACTCCTAGACCCACCACAGGGCCTCAAGGGGCTCCTGATGACAGACAGATGAAGGCCAAGGGATGGGTCACACATGGAGAAGCACATACAGGTACACACATGCATACACATATGCTTGCACGTGCATGCACACATGTGTACACACAGGCTCACATGCTCATACATGCATACAATCACGAGGCTCTGAGGCACAGGCGGCAGGGGCAGCTCTGGCTGGCCTGCGGGGTGCTCCCCGGCAGGGCACCCCTCCACGGGAGAGGCCACTCACCTTGAGCACGATTTCATTGACGGTAGCAGCATCGGATTCGAAGTAGAGGTGTTTGTAGTCGTGATTGCTTAGATAAGTGAGCTTGAATATCGCGTGACCTGGAGAGAGAAAGGGGCAGCGTTGCGGGGCTCTGGTGGGTGACCTCTGCGGGGGCGAGGGGGCCCATATCTACGCCCCCTCTTCTAACTCAAGCACCAGCTGGGATAGGGGGTCATTTCCCCGGGGCAGCTGGGCTGCATGTGAGAAAGGACAGGCCTGCTGGGGTCACACTGCCCCTCGAGCACCGGGAGGTGGCGGGCTGGGCTGTGTGGAGCCACTGGCACAGTTCTGGGGAAGAAGGAGCAGGGTTTGGGGTGGGAGGTCAGTTTGCTGCAGGCCTTTAACCAGAAAGGCCTTTACCTGTTTCCAGTCATCCAGCAAGCAACAGGAAGGAGGAAGGCCAGCTGCTGGGCTGCCCAGGCATAGTCGAGTCTGGCCTCCCTCGTCTCGTGATCCTGCTCCCAAGGCCACAGGCATCCTTGCCTGGGACGCTGGGCTGGGGGCTGCCACTTCCCGAAGCAGCCCCAGCTCACCCGGACCAGATTCCTCCACGCTCGCTCCCTCCGACCCCTCCCATCAGCGCAGCCGCTCCCTTGGACCCCGGAAGCCAGAGTCCCTGGCCGAGCTCTCCTCCCCCAGCCCATCTGAGGCCTCATCTCTGGCGGCTCAGCTCGACCGGCCCCTCTGTGAGTGTCTTCACTGCTCTCCAGAAGGCCCCACGCATTGGTGTCGGAGACCCCTGCATGGTGTATGCCCAGGTGCCCTGGCGGTGCCAGTCAAGCCTGCGCAGGTCCGACATGGCCGTGGGACTCTCTGCCCGGGTGCCTGGGGACTCTGGGGAGCAGTAGCCCGAGGCGCACAGCAGGACGGTTCATCAACAGAGCGGGGCTGCGAGGGAGAAACTTCAGCACGGGCCCACACCGGCCTTCGAATCCTTTTAATTGAGGCGGCGCCGGTCACAGCGATTAACAACCCATCACCCCCATTACTGTAAGTTCACCTCTTTCCTGGAGAAATCTTCTTGGGGACTTTATTTACAGTAGCTGATTCTTCAGACCTCCAAGAATAAGCTGATATATGGGGCTCGGGGCCGGGAAAAGCGCAGCTGCTGGTGTTTTATCCTCGGAATATCGTTTTGATATACTGATGGTGACGGTCAATTTTACATGGAAAAAATGAGCTCAGGATTTCTGAAAAACCTCACCTGCTGGCACCCACGAATTTACCCAGATTCTAAAGCGTGGCATGAGATGCTGGAATCCCCAGTTGGGAGTGAACTGTCCGCTCCACTCCGTGCTGGTCTCGGAGCCTGGCGGCGGGCGGGAAGGTGGCCCTGTGCCCAGGTGCGTGGGCACGTTCCCACAGGTGAGGGTAGTGCCGTGAGCAGGCCCGTCATCTATGAAGGTCAGGGAGCGCGAAGGACACCAAGGACGCACAGACTCGCCCTCCAGGAGGGCTTTGCCACTGACACCTGGCTCTGACAAGCCAGACGGCAGGGCCTGAGGCGAAAAAGGACCAGAAGGTCTTAGGGAGACCCACAGACCTGAAGCTTCGGGGTTCACTGGCTACTCTGAGTGACCACCTGCTCCCGCTCATCACTGACAAAACTGAAGCAGACTTCGAGGCGTGGGCGCCTGTTGGGGGTTAGGAGCTGAGACCCCGCTCTATCGGCAGAGCCGGATGGACACGTGTGTGCGTCAGCCGTTGTCAGGGCCTGGTGGGCTCTCAGTGAGACTCACCTGCAGGGGGCAAAGGAGGGAAGAACGAGAAGCCCCAGAATCCAGGTCTCCCTTAGGCTGTGCTGGAGCAGCAAGAGCCCCGAGGAGGGGCGCAGTGGACAGGAAAGATGCGAGGTGCCCCCTCCCCCCACCTCTCGCTTGCTTGTCCTTCAGGCTGGCCAGGTAGGGCACCCACAGCACTGACAGCAAAGGCCAGGGCGCCCTTAATTTGAATTTCAACACATCAGCCCTTGGTGACAGTCACAGTAAGAGGGGTGGTAGGGAGGGAGAGTGAGCTCTGGCCCGCAAGCTCGGGAGAAATGTAGCACGAGTACCCAACTCCGGGGATCCTGGGGTTTTTCTGGGTGGCCTGAAGGGCACTTTTGCTCAGGTCTGCCAGGAGCATGGCCAGTGCCAGGGCCAGAGAAAGGCCCGTCATGCTGATCGCTAAGGGCAGGCAGGAGCCCACATGGGGCAGGCAAAAAGGGCCGTACCCCACGTGGCACTGCTGACTAGGCCACCAGTGGGCCAGTGATGACAACCATCCAGATGTGCTTTGGGGGGTTGTCCCCCCACCCCCACCCCTGTGCGCTCCTGCACTTGCTATCTGGAGAGAAGCAGTGGCCGCCCAGGGCAGCGGAGGGAGAGTACTGGGTCAGAATGACGGCTGAGGCGGGGAGCAGGCGGGAGGCCACACTACATGTGGAGAGGCGTGGACGACAGAACTCACTCCAGGGGCACGTCAGCCTGATCTGGACCGACACGCCCAAGGGTGACTGCCACTGGTGGGGAAGGGTCAGCCATAGACCAGAGCAGTTTGCGCTGTGTGTGGAGTTCTAGGGCTTCGCCCCACTGGGACAGGCTAGGAAGCGCCATCACCGGCACTACATGGCCCCCCAAGGCTGCTCAGCAGTCCTCCCAGCTGTAGCCCAGAAGGAACCAGAAACATGTGAGGCGACCCGGAATCAGAGAACTAGCAGTTTTCTTAGGAAGGGGCAGACTGTCTTGGCATAAATGTTGGCTGGGAACAGAGGTGTGGACCCCGTAAGACCAAAACTAATACGCCCAGTCTCCCGCTGTAATCACTTCAAATGGTTCTTGCTCAGATGGTTAGCTGTGCTTGGAAACGCAGGCCCGCCAGGCGTCGGGGCTCTGGGGCTGAGCTCCAGCTGTGCGGACTCCCAGCGGCCAGACCTTGGCAGGAGCCCCAGGCTGGCCCAGGAGAGGCCGGGCCGGCCAGGCCTTCTGCTCACACGACACTGAACACAGTGGGGGCTCAGGCGGGGAAGGCGTCTTGTGGCTGATGAGGTGGCTGGAGAGAAAATACTCAACCTTTTGAAGATTTTGTTTTAATCCTCAAATTGAATGGGGCCGCCTCTTGCCTTTATAGAGCTGTAGACATAAAATGCAACGTACCTGAGTCTAAAGGCAGCACCTAAGCACGGGCGACAGGGTTGGGGCAGCACCGAAGCGTCCATCTGCTTCAGAATACTGCAGCGGACAGGTAAGAATGTATTTGCATTTATGTACCCTCCCCCCTTGGTACACACACACACACACACACACACACACACACACACACCCCGAGTACCCCAGAGAAGATGGAATGTAACACTGAGCAGGAACTAATTAGTGGCACAAATGTCAGAAGTGGAGCTGTCTGGGCTTTTGTGCTCTAATTTACCTTCTGCATTATGAATTTTAACTTAAACACAGGCTGTGAAGGAAACAAACAGGCTCCTCTGGCTGATTCAGGGCCGGGGTCCTGCAGAGGCTGCCTTCTCCCAGGCCGGGCTTCTAGACTCCAGGGAGAAGCGCCGATTTCCAGCCACACAGAACAGGGAGCACAGCTTGTGGGGAAAGGGGTCCCTGCAGCTGGGGATCCTTGGTGGGGCTGCCCCCACCCCCCCAATCCAAAATCCCCGAGGGTCTCTGCTTACCAGGAAAGCCTAAAATAAACTTGTGTCTTCTCTCTCTCTCTCTCTCTCTCTCTCTCTCTCTCTCTCTCTCTCTCTCTCTCTCTCTCTCTCTCTCTCTCCTACAAGATATCTACACAGGATCAGAAGGTGAGAAGACAGAGGGGACTTTCCAGGGTCCCAACAGTGGCGCCTGGCAGTGAAACCCTGGTGCTTTGCTGAGGCTGGCCGGTGCCTGTCCTTGCAGATGTGATCAGCCCAAGCAGCAACACCAGGAGCTGTGGGCGTCAGTTAACCAGGCTCCTTGATGCTGGTCTCTACCCTCACCTTCGGCAGCCACTTTGGGCTCCATTTCCAGCTACAAACAAGAAAAAAGACACCAAGGACCCGGACTCCAGTTCCCTTACAGCGGGCAGAAACGTGTTCTCAAACTGGGGTTCCAGGTCACATTCTTCCCTAGCCCTGAAGGCAAGGGGAAATCTTACTGGAGCTCTTGGTTGGGGTAGAGGGTGGGCATGGCTCTCACAGACAAAACCCCACCCTCCTACAGGTGCTAGGGGCCTCTGGTCCCCAGGGTGAGCAACAGTTTTGCTTAGCTGCAGGAATTCAACGTGATTCATCTGGAGAAGTTTGGTTCTCTTGGGCAGCCCAGATGGCAAAGGCCTGAGGTCCGCGATGACCCCAACAGCTGGAGCAGGTGAGCCTGACCCACTTACGCTTCCGCCCATGTCTCTCATCTTTCTTGGGCGCTGGCCTATAAACATAATTAAGGCTCTCCGATTATAAGCACTCCTGTGGCAAACTGATGTCCCTCCTGCCTCTACTTTATCGAGAAGCCTACTGTGCCGATCACTCCAACCTTGATGGATAGATCCCACAACCTTCCCTCTGTTGGGTCCGGAGGCTGCACCTAAACCCGCAGGACACCCCCCTTCCCTGGGCTCCCTGCGGCTGGCCTCCCAATCCTCAGCTGACTTCCCTCAGACAATGGCGCCTTTGGGGCCCTGTGTGACCCCCTTCTCCTTTGCTGGTCCCCGTGTTCTGGACTTGAGCCTCACCTTTTCTAACCTGATGTTTCTTGCCTGTGAGTTTGACCCTTAGGCTTTAATTCTGCTTTGTGTTTCGACTTTAATGATTTAGGACCCACCCGAAAACATGGGGTGCCAGGGATTGAACCCGAGTTGGTCATGTGCCAGGCAAATACCTTACTTGATGTATTATCTCTTTGGCCCCAAAAGCAGATGATCTTACCTATACCTCTAAAATTAATATTACTTAATTTTGCAACAGCAATCCACTCATTACAAGTTAAAACATAAACAACACTGTTGCTGTTGTTGGCTGTTCTGGGGGCCACATCTGGTGGTGTTCAGGGCTGACTCCTGGTGGGGCTCAGGGGACCACACCTTGTTCTGGGGATCCAAC